CCTGGGAAATTTCTTAACGTGGTACCTTTCAGGGTCTTCCCACAGCGGCCAGATAAAGGTGTGTCCAGTTCCCCGACCCCAGTCTGTTTTCTTTTGAAAGCACTGCTTTTAACTTTTTCACATATTCCAGGTCTAATAGCTGGTTTTTTTGTGGGTTTTTTTTTTTTGGCATAGAGTTGAGGTATGTAAGTTTATAACAAACAAAAATAAATGTAAATGATCTTCAAAAGGTAGATTTTATAGGCCTCAGGGTGTAGCTCTAAGGTACTGTGCTTGCCCAGTGCAGTCCAAGGGTTGTTTTAGTCCTCATTACTGCAACAGAGATATTATTATTGCTCTGACTAATAGAAATAGGTTTTTTTTTAGAAGGGAAACTATGAAGAATGAGGCTTTCACAGGTTCACTGGTAAACCTTGAAATGTTGTTTTCCCTTTAAAAATTAATTATGGGTATGGTGGTGTATGCCTGTTATCCTAGTGACTTGGGAGGGTCAGGCAGGAGGATCAGAAGTTCAAAACCAACCTCAGAAACTTAGCAAGGCCTTAAGCAACTCAATGAGACCCTGTCTCTAAATAAAAATATTAAAAAGGGCTGGGGATGTGGCTCAGTGATTAAGTGCCCCTGAGTTCAATCCCTAGTACCAACTAATAATAATAATAATTAATAATGATAATAAATCTGTTAGGTCATGATAACTGTTCCCAAAGCCTCTTTAAATCATAAAATCAGTGAGGATTGACATAGAATAAGGGAGGCTCATGAAGGGGTACCCCTTCCTTAAATCTTGTGTCAACACTGAACACAGCAAACTCCCTTGATTGGGTGGACTACCTTGATATCTGTGTTAAAAAGGAATCTGAAGTAGAATTTATGATCGCTGGCCCAAAATACCACAAAAGGCATCACCCACTATTGGCAGAAGACCAGTGTTTAGTTACACAGGTGTCACAGCCCACCACTCCTGACGAATCAGGAGAGTCATTCATCTCGGCTCTAGTTCATCTGTTCTGGCTTCAGTTAGTCCTTGACCCCACTCACATCTGTCTTCCCCTGAAAGGTCGACCTCATCACTGGGTCATCAAGACCCTAAATCAGATGCAGAAGCTACAGTTTCCAACTGACCTCTTTTCTGGCTTCCCATTCACATAAGTGCCTGTCCCCCAACAGTGGTCCTCTCAGATCCAACCCCGATGGATACGCTCAATAAAAAGCAGACCTAGTGTACAACCAGAGAAATAAAAAAATGTGCTCCATATGTGTGCCATGAATGGAAATGCATTCTGCTGTCATGTATAACAAATTAGAACAAATTAGTGATTTTTTTTTTAAAGAGCAGACACAGGATGAGAACAGAAATGAAAATGTGAACAAGCATAACTTTGTATTCACTCATGAGAACAAACCCCTAAAGGCTTTGTGCGCCCAGGAATCCAGTTACGAAGTGAAAAGCTCTACATGGGCCTCTTGCCTCAGCCAGATGTTGACCCAGCAGATTCAGTTCACCACTGCAGAGCTATGAGTAGGAATGCAGATGTGCATACACAGTCCACCTCGCCTTTGTGCTAGCTTCCTGTGTTAAGTGGAAATGAAATGGTCTATGAAGCTGTGTTTCTAAAGATGGCCTTGGAAGTTCATCTGAAGGATACTCAATGGACCCTTCCCCTCAGGAAGGAAAATGACTTTATTTAGGGAAAAAACAGTGATCAGATCTTTTTGTTTAATTTTATGTGCAAAAAAAAAGAAATACAGAATTATTTTTTTAAACATGCATTGAAAGAAAGGGAAACAGTTCATTAAATAATTTATTCTCTTCATATTTGTTAATTGAAAGAAATAATAGACACAGTTATATTATATATTTCTCTTGTGGCTAATAAGTTATAGGTAATGTCCAGGCATGGTGGCACATGCGTGTAATCCCAGTGGTTTGGTAGACTGAGGCAAGAGAATGGCAAATTCAAAGCCAGTTTCAGCAATTTAGCAAGGCCCTAAGCAACTCAGTGAGACCCTGTCTCTAGTACCACTAAATAAATAAATAAGAAAGATATAGGTAATGGATGAAGCAAACCTCACCTCTGACAGGAGAATGCATTTTGACACATTGTACACAATGGAGCACAACTTCTCATTCCCCAGACCATAAGTGGTGCAGAAACACAACAGTAGTGTAATCATACATGTATGTAAGGTAAAAAGAAAAACAAATCAACACTAAGAAGCAGTAGAAGACAGGAAATAATTAAAATCAGAGATGAAATCAATGACATTGGAACAGAGGAAACAATTCAAAAAATTGACAAAACGAAAAGTTGGCTCTTTGAAAACATAAAAAAAATCAATAAGCCCTTAGCTACTCTAATAAATAGAAAGAGAAAGAAAACTCTAATTATTAACATCCCTCTTTCTTTCTTCCTTGCTTTTTCTCTCTCTTCTACAGGAAAAATACAAGAAATTCCTTGAATTAGCAAATTAGGGAAACTGTCCCTTTGGTAGAGTAGAGAATGCATTTCCTTCCCTGACCCAACGGCAGCCAGTTAACAATGTAGAAAAGTTCTCATTTTTCCCTGAAGCCATTGTCAAACATTTCATAAGAAATGGCACCATTTCTGCTCCTCCATTTGCACCTCAATTTCTACAGCTAGTGTGAAGAAGATGCCAACACCCATATCTGAAAAGAGATAAATAACAGTTTTCCTGGTACTGAAATATGTGCATAACTCAAACTCCATTTTGACTGGGAGACAAAAATGGAATCCTCAGCTCAGAGTGTGCTTACTTCACATTCCCAACTGCATACTCAATTTCCTACCTTTAAAAAAAATACCCTAAAGGGCATCAAGCATTAAGCCCTTCCAGCCAGAGATAAGATGTGCATGGAGCAGTGCTGGAGAGTTGCCTGAGAGTTTTCCTAATTAAAACTGCTTGGTGCCTGCAAGTGGCTTGAATTGTTCTATATAAAGAGTGCCATGAATTTTAAACCTCCATTGGGGTGAAGACGTGGTGTGCTGAGAAGAGGAAAAAACCAAGTTCAAATAGGAAACACGGAGCCTGCCTCTTGAATTGATCAAGTAAAAAGCAAATTCAAAGATCTCATGTTTAATTTCTTTCTATTTTGCCTAGAATTCTGATTTTTTTCTTGATCTCTCCATTTGAGTGGTTCTTAAAACTTCAGAATTACCTGGGAAACTTGGTGAAAAAAAATACAGGTTTTCAGGGTTCTCACCTTGTGAACTGAATCTATAATAAGTCCTGGGAAACTTGTTTTCTACTAAGAGCTTCAGAAATGATAGCACATAGTACATTTGGAACATAATGAATGACAGTTCCTAATCCCCCAAACAATGATTTGAGACTTGAAAGTAAGAAATGCAGAAAATGCCTAATGAGGAATTAGCAGAGTACTGTTCAGCATACCCTTAAGACATGACTGTATATGCAGCAGCATTAGGAAGAGGGTTCTTAGACACTCCTCTGTATAATACCAGGTGTCTGAGCCAAATTCAGATTCCAGGGCCTCACCATTTCCCTTATAGATTTCACTCAATGCTATTGACCTGTAATCCATGAATGTCTTCTGTTAGCTTAACCCCAGGGGATTCTGCTGTGGGTGGTTCATGGAATGCTGTTACCACCATGTGGGACCAAAGATGGACTTCTAGCAGCTTTGTGTGTTTGACACACTCCTTTACCTGTATGGGAAAAAGTTACTTTACTAAAATTTTGTGCAATCACAAATTAATTGAGAAGAAAAGAAACCGCAGTATGCTAAGAACGATACAAAGTTCTATGTGCAATGTTGGAATCCTCCCTCTCTAGCAACAAAAATCTTAAATCACTCTACTTGTTTGTTTTAATATAGAGCAAAATCACTTGGCTCATGAAGTTTATAATTCCAGTGTTTGCTCAGTCTTTGAGCATCAAACAGCGTCGCTGGGACTGGGGTTCTGCACAGTCCTAACCTTTGCTTTCTGAATGCTAGCTGCTGCTGCTTCTGGTATCAGGCTGTTTGGAGGCAAAAGGAAATACAGGAGCTATAGGTTCACGGTCCCTCAGGTTCAGGTCCTTTGGACACCTTAAGAGCTCATTGCTACAAGATCCTAGAAGCCACGAGTGGACAAGTTAGGCCATGTGGTTAGTGAGCTGTTATGCAGTGATAGGCTTGGCTTTGGTGTATGATTGGGTGACTTGTCAACCCTGAGGCTAAACATATTGAGCAAGGGTAGCAATATATCCAATTGGTTTGAATAATTGGCTGGTATATTTGGTGTTGGCAGAAGGCTGAGGATGGTCTGGGGAGATACCCCAGGAAATACCCACAGTGGCGCTGTGTACACACTGCAGCAACCTGAAATAATAGGCAGGGTTGGTCCCTGTGCAGTTGCCAAGGGTCTGTTTTTGAAAGAGACAATCTGATATTTGAACTGTCATGCTAGCAAACACGGTCAAATCAGTACTAGAGATATCCATATTTGGAGTATTTTGTTTGGTCAATTTAAATATCACTTCGATGGGATACATGGTTTATTCTTAAATTCTTTGCCACTCCCCAGTATATGCATGAGGGATCTTGCAGAATCTTTGGTATGTGTATTAGTGTTTTGTTATTGTGACATACCGAAAATAAATCAACTTTTAAGAAGGACAGAACTCTTTTGCTTATGGGTTCAGGCCATAGCTTCTTGGCCCCTTTGTGTGGGTGCCTGTGGTGAGACAGTGCATTATGATGGGGAATACATTGTGGAGCAAACTGCTCACCTCCTGGCAGCCAGGAAGCAAAGAGAAAGGACAAGGAGGGGCTAGAGTCCCAGTATTCTCTTTTAGTCCACCTCCAATGACCCAAACTCCTTCCATTAGGCCCCAAGGTGGAAAGGTTCCACCATCCCCAATGTACCATAGGTATCTACAGATACCCCTGGGTATCTGCATCCCATGAGCACCTGCCTCAGCATCTCCTTCCCCCTCTTTGCTGATTTACCTGCAAACTCTGTGTTGTCTTTTAGGATTCAGAGTGACTTCTATCCAAGATAGAGCTGGATATGTTCTTCCAAGGCCTCTGCTCATTCCTGAAGACTTGGGTGCTGCAGTCCCGCACTTGGGCTTAATAGAACCTGGACTTTCTCAGCTGCAGCAAATTACCAGGCAGGTAGGTGACTCTTCCACATTATGAGCACCATATGCTCAAAACTAGTTCAGTACAGTTTTTAATTCTGCATCAATTGCTGATGTGGATTTAATCTTCCATCAAATAATATGTACCAGTGATTGAGAAAGATTCAACATTGAGTCAACAAAGAGTGAAACTTCTGTGCATTTTTGTATATTTTAAATTATGCCATTGGATGAATAACTACAATTCCTTTAGTTCTTTGTCATTTTTGGACTTCCAGGCACAGTTTTCCATGTCTTGTGTATTAGCTCATTTAGCCCTCACAGCAGGTCTACAAGTCAGCCACCATTATTATCCCTGTTTTGAGGATATGGAAGCTAAGGGGGGTTGAAAAGCCTTCCCAAGGTCACAGAGCTGGTAAGAGATTTGAATCCAGGAAGTTGGGGCCAGACTCCCCCATGCTTCACCACTCTGATGCCAAAACGTTGATTTTTATTTAAAATCCTCTATTTTACATATGTATCCAATGGCAGTGTACGTGCACACATACATATTGTGTACATAGAAGATTTTTATGGACTGCTCTTATCACATTTTTGTGGTTGAACATCCACTGCTGTGTAGATTTGTTTGCCTTTAGGAACTGGTAGAATTTTTACCAAGAATAGCCAGAGAAGTAGATTCTGAGGTTGGTCGGCAACATTGCCCTTTCTCCTGCCCGCACTGTCTCTCTCCCTCTGATTTTCACCAGGCTTTCCTTTTGACCCAGTGTTGGTATAAATGCTACTGTGGAATTTGGAGGTAACAGACCTGCATGAAATCTTAACTCTGACCCCTGCACTATAGGACCCCCACCTCAAAGTTCCTCATGGTAAAAATGGGGAGCATGAGCCCTGACAAAACTTAAAACAGAGAAGAAGCTACTTGTCATATTTTCAGTTTTATATTTCCATTTCTATTTGATAAAATTTTAGGATTTGGGGTATGGGTTTCCTTTAATTCAAAACGTGATCTGTTTCAAATCTTGTGAAATGGCCTGCTCTCTACACTGCTAGGAAAAGAGGGGGTAATGGTATCAGCCAGCTCTCTGTTGCTATAACAAGATACCTGAGAAAATCAGTTCTAGAGATTTTAGTTCATGATCCATGGGCACAGATGCTTTGGGCCTGTGGCTAGGATGCAGAACACGGTGTGGGGTTGTGGCAGGGCAAAACTCATCTCGTGGGCAGGAAGCAAAAGAGAAATGGCTGGGCTCATGTAGTTTCCTTCTAGGACAGATCCCCATGACCCGAAATGTTACAAGTCCCACCTCTCAGTGTTCATTCACTACCTTTCCATAGTGCCATCCTGGGTACCAAGGTTTTAACATGTGAACATTTGGGGACATTCAAGTTCCAAACTGTAGCACAAATATATGACTTTATTTTCTAGGCTTCATAATTCTCATTCTACCTTTACATTTCTTTTTTATTGAGTCTTTTTAGTCATACATGACAATAGAATCCATTTTGACATAACTATAAAAGTGTGGAATATATCTTGTTCTAATTCAGACCCCAGTATCTTTCCTTTCCCTTCCCTCCCACCAGCGCTTCTCCCTTCCCTCTATTGATCATTGTGCCATTTATCTATAGTTATTTTTTAATTCATTTCTTGTGGTTGTTCACGGTGGTGAGATTCACTGTAGTGTAGTCATACATGTACATAGGAAAGATCTCAGTGTGACCTCTTCAAAATATGATGTGTCACTTCTAACTTGACCCCCTTTTTCGTTTATGTCATTGATTTTAAAAGGGGCTCTGTAACAGCTGTAAACTCACAGAGTCAATACTTTTTATGCAAAGTAAAATTACCAAATATAAATAGCCATCTCTCCCATTGCCAGTCTTGGTACTCATGCATCCCTTTGGGAGAAGAATGGCTAATGTTGCCAGCTGAAAGAGTCCGCTGTCAGAGCCCCCATAACTAAAGCAGCTGGTATGAAAACGAGTCTGCGCACCCCAGGCCAGGGCACTTGGGCAGCTTTAAGTCATTTCATTACGTGTGCACCTGTCAGCCTTGGTTATCGTCAGGTGCCAAGGGCAAGGTAAGCCCTTGGGAAAACAGCACAATAAAAGACAGGGGTAACTTCAGTGCCATTGCATCTCTACTGTATTTTTCTTACCTCTTCAGAATTTTGGCTGCCCATGCTCCCCTTGCACACCCCTTACCAAATAAATGCCCGATCTTGCCTGTCTGCTATAAGCAGAACCCACACTGGAAAAGGTCATTTTCTTCCTTCTGCATGCATGACCTCTGCTCTGCCTCCAGACTTCAGAACAGAGCTTTCCTGGGTAGCATTCTCTCAGATGAGGGGTTGGTGACTCTCTGATCTAAGAGAATGATCCTTGACAAATTGTCTAATTGATAACACTGTGGCTGCATTTCTTAGCCTCACCTATAAAGGGCTTTGCATTTTAATGGGGACTAGGCTTGGATCATTCATCTAGTCTATAACAACAAATGCATGAGAGGGTTGGATACTCATACTATAGGGAATTACAGGACAGAAAACCTTCCAACTTCATCATACCACTTCTCCTAGGAATCCTATGGCAGTGAAGTTTCATTCATCTTTCATTTAAAGAATCTTGGGTCCTCAAAAAAAAAAAAAACTCAAGCAAAATTAGTTTTCCTTAAATATTTCCAAGAGTCTGTTAGAGTTCGCATTTTTTGTAAGTTCTACAAATACAAAGTAGAAGTAAATTATAGAACAACTTCCTTATTCTTTTAAATGAAAACCTAGTGTCTGCTCAAACTATTGTTGCCTGCTCCCAGAGGCCACTGTGTCCAATTGAGAAGCAGCTGTGGAGCTCAGAAGCAGGTGTTCAGTGAGACAGGTGCCCTGAGCAGAGGGACAGGACCTGTCACCTGCACCTGTGGGGCTCCCTCACCAAATTCTGCAGGAGTCTAGCAATGCATTTATAACCTGCTCCACACAGTGTGTTTTGTAAATCTGGCAGAAATTAGATGTTTTTGACTTTATTGGTTTAAGAACACTCTCACTCGACACGGAAGCACCCCACAACTCAAAGGTGGCCCTGACTGGAGAGCATAGTCTACTGAAGGAGATTAGGTTTGCATCCACTCCAGACTTTGAGTGGATGTGGCTTAATGTGGCTTCCACATAGTTCATGACAGCAGGAAGTATGGCTCACCATCCTGGTTGACAAATGGCTTCCGCAGTGTTCCTCTTGCCAGTTTCTCTGACATCTTGACAACAAGATGCAGGGTCTGATTTATGTCAAAATATTAATAAAACATGGTGGGTTTTTTCCCTCCTGGATTATGTCATTTGTCAGCTTTTTAACGTTAGTATTTGGTTGCAAGTTGTTTTCCCCCCACCCTCAGTCTAAATAAATATCCTCTTTTATATCTGTTTTTCTGGTTGTAATTTGGTATCATTACTAACTGAGAAACACTAAGTTGAATGAGCATCAAGTGCTGTGATTCTACCTCCAGGTGCTAGCTATTAAGTTATCACTTTTCCACACTTGGGACCAGGGAGAACACTCCAGCAGACTGTCCTTCATGAGGCAAGTTCTGCAACTGTATTTCACTTGTGAAATACAAATTGCTGAGTTATTAGTTCAGCAATCCATTAATAGAAATTCTCCATGCTGTTCACAACTTCCACCAATACTCAGTTTGGCAAGAATGCATCCCACCATTTCGTGTGTATTTTCTTTACGTAAATGGTATTTGGTTTTCTTTTTTTTTTTTCCCCCTTGAGAAATTTTAATTCGGTTCATTTCCTTTCTCCTTGGAGGAAATCCTCTGAAACTAGCTTTCTTGCTATTCAATTTTTATCTTTCCTCCCCTGGAATACTTTCCCAAAGATTTAATTAGCTTATGCACTGGTGAAGTAGTTCCTGCGATGGTCCCTGTTTGTAGATAGGAGAAGTCTTTTTTCTTTGACTGCTTAGAGAGAAATTGCCACTCAAAATCCATTTCTTCCATCTGGTCTGCTGCTTGTCAATTTCAGATTCATGTACCCTGTATTTTTGTTGATAGCTGCTTTATTAGAGTCTAAGACTCAGAGGCATTTCACACTTTAATATTTGATTCATCATTGGGAGGAAAAAAAATCTGAAGACTATATTTCCTCTCCAACTCCCAATACTTTGGGATTCTGTATTTCAAGATTCCTTAAATAAAGTGATGATTTCCCCCCCAAACTTTCAGGAGGTTCCAAGGCAATTACATAGTGTGTATTTTACCAACTGTTAATCAGCATTTGTGTACATTTCACATTGCCAAGTACTATACTGTTATTATTATAAAAATAGGTGGTTTGTTCAGTTACACTGATTCTCCTTTCTTCATGTCTTAACATATTTTCACCTCTTGCTTATCCATTCCAGTGATTCAAAACATTTTCTAGAATAGATATAACCCAACGACTTTATGTTTACCTCTGAAATAAATTTCATTTTGTTTTCTTTTTTTTGAAGTGCCTGGGATTGAACATAGGGACTCATGCACGATAAGTGAGGGAGGTCTCTACCCTTGAGTTTCACCACTAGCCCCCCAATAAATCTGTTTTTAATGAAAATTGGTTATTTAGTTCAGACTTAATCTAAACTTTCTTTTCATTTAAAAATTTGTTGCTGAAAGTGATTTTAAGATACATTTATCTATTCTATTGTGCTATCATAACATATTTGACATGACTTAATTACATCTTATTTAGTATTGGGGGGTTTTATTGTATCTAAGGTCATGATTCTGATCAATTCTAATTTTACCACATTGACAGAAACTTTAAATGTCAACAGGACAGGGTCCAGGGTTGAATAGCTCCAGAATTAAATTGAAAAGTTAGAAAAGAAAAAAATAGATGAGAGAAAAATGTTTTCTTCATCTCCAGTGCCCACCCCCTGCAAGGAAATGCATAGATTTAAGAATACTAGAAATTGTTAAAAGTACAGGTCTCAGAATTTGAATTTCTATGCACCATTTCTTTCAATATGCCGGTTTTGTCATCTGATTTGAGT